AAAAATTGTGCTGTATCAGTGATCGCTGCCTCTTCTAAACTTGTAGATACGCGAAGCGTAGACACAAATTTTAACGGTGACTCCGATATGCAAATAAGTCACTCACCCACTGAGGGGTAGATGTTGTAGTTCAATTTTATCCTTGGTTCAAATTTTATTTTCCTTTGTTTCAAACTCATAATCATGCATTAACATGACCAAGAACAAAGGAAAACAAAATTTGAACCAAGTATAAAATTGAACTACAACATAGACAGGGCGTAATTGATCATCCTCTGAGCGTCACGCTCAGAGGATGATCAATTACGCCGATCAATTATGCTGATCTTATATTGTGTGCTGAGACTGAAAACTTTTCACCTCGAGCAATTCTTTGTCGTACAGCCCAAACAAACATGGCGAGCAACTAACTTCATTCTTGTATATGTCCGTGTTAAAACACACTATAGGACTCTAAAGCACACTTCACTCTGATTGGGCAGAAAAACACAAAGATTTTCTGGCACCAAACAGATGCCAGAACGACTGCGACCGTCTGGAACTAGTCTAGTAGGACAATGTCCCCAGGGGCTCTTCTGCCCTAACTTGAAATCGGCTCCCAGCCCCTGGGTCTCCGAGGATGGTCCGGTGTCCGCTCAGTCGAGGATTTTAACAATAGAAATGAGCTAATTAAAATTTATTTTACAGTCAGCGTCCGCTTACTAGAGGTGTTTGTACATTTTAACATATTTACGTGTTTGACTATTTATTTTTGTGAACAGTGTTGGGAGGGCCGAAAGCTAATGATGGAAGAACATTTATTTAATTCACTCAACCGTTTAATATACAATCCCAAAGGCCCACTGCTTGCGTAAAACTGCGGTTTCAGTTAGACCTCGTGCAAAATGACCGCTCTTAAGTTTCTGGCAAAGACCTAAACATTGTCGTGCTGGACTTAAGTCGATTTTTCAATATTTCGCTGGTTATTTTTAATACGTCACAAGCACATAAGATTTATCAGAACTCGCTGAAGTGTCATTATCACTTCAGTTTTGAAAGGTAACTGTTTGAAACGCTTTTTGAATAGCAAACAAAGTCACCTATCTAAAAAATTGATGGATATCGTTTTCTAACAGTCGTGGATTATGCAAGAAAAAGTTGCAAAGATCGTCGCCTAAAATTGAAAACTTTGAATATTTGTTATTTCGGAAATGGGTGCCATCTGGCCTGACGACTTATCACTTCTCTGTCTTGACAGCTTTGTGTTACTTTCCTTTGGCAATGACAAAATTTCTTTACATTTTCTGTTTTGACAGAGTTGCAATGGAATACAGCGAAGAGCAGCTCAACTACTTCAGGTTAAGTCTCATTGTCCGTAATGAATTTCCCAGGGCTCTGCGAGCAGTCTTCAAACAACAATGGGACATTCTCTACGGTGCAACATTAGGGGAATGGAAAGACGAGCTTAGAAATGGACTGGACTTTCTAAACAAGGAATCTGCCCGGAACCAAAGAAGAAATGCACATCTCCTCACAACCATGAGGGGTGGAAACAGAGCTGAATGGGATTGTTCAATGCTCTTCTATGCCATTCTTTTCTCGGACTGTATTCACAACCTCAGCCCAGAAGTCAGGTCAAATGTCGATGCCCTCAGAAAATTTCGAAACGACTATTTTGCGCACCTGTCGGAAGGAATTATTTCCGTCCTGCAGTTTCAAAACATTATTGAGAAAGTTCAGACTGCGTTTCAGGCGCTAGGTATCTCAGCTACGAAAATTCAAGAAATCAAGAACAAAACGAGTTTTCCCACTGAGGAGCTGAGAGATACTTTGATGAAGGTGGACGATCTTAAACTAGAAGTTAAGAACCAAACAAGTTTTGGCACAGAGGAGCTGAGGGATACTGTGAAAAAGCCTGACGATCTTAAACAGAACGTCGAAAAAAAGGAGATGGTACTTCAAGAAAAAGAGGGCGAACGGCAAGCCCTTGAAGATCAGTTGAAAAATGGTATCTCTCCTTTCTGTGTTCTCCCTCCTAAACCTTCACATGACGTAGCAAGTCGCGACCGAGAGGTGGCTGAAATAATACAGCAACTTAAAGAACTGAAAAAAGAAAATAACGACAAGTTGAGCTGCATCTACATCTCAGGGAAAACTGGAAGCGGAAAGTCTCAACTTGCCAGCCTCGTGGCTAAGCGGTTCTTTAATGATCCTCCATCTAGTGTATCATTTGTGATGACGATAAACGCTGAAAGAGCAGATACTGTGCTAGAGTCGTATGTGGCCTTCTCTCGGCAACTGAAGTTTCCCGAGAATGCGGTGACAACCATCCTCCATTCAGATTTCACAATAGATGAGAAGATCACCCATCTTAAATCATTGATCGGAACGAAAATCGAGCTGTACACATCGTGGCTGCTGGTAGTGGACAATGTCACGAGCATATCGCAGGTACAGGTTCATCTTCCCGCAGCTGAAAATGAGATATGGGCAGGAGGCCAGTTACTTCTCACAACTCAAGACAGTGCGTCAATTCCTCCAGCGAGTTCCTTAAATAAACACATCTCAATAAGCAAGGGAATGCATCCTGATGATGTCAGTTATTTACTGGAAAAGCTTGCAGGAATCACGGACAAAGAGATGGAAATCAAAGTTGCTAAGGCGTTGGACTATCATCCTCTCGCCCTAGCAAGCGCTGCCTTTTATGTCAGACACGTAAGGCAAAATGAAGTGTCTTCGGATTTTTGCTGGAGAGACTTCTTGAAGAATCTCGAAGAAAACCAGGAAAGCCCTTCTGAGATCAAACCAAGTCGCACAGATTCACAGACCACAGCCGTAATGCTATCCACAGATATGGTGATGAAATCTGACAAAGTTATTCATGACGCGTTTGATTTCCTATCGTTATGTGCGCCACAACCAGTGAGGTCGGGTTTAGTAATAAATTACATCATTTTGAATGGACAAACGAGAGATGAAGAGATGATTTCGCCAATCCTACTCAGATGCCCCCTACTGATAACTGAAGTAAGGGAAAGTGGCCTCTACATTGGAGTGCATCATGTAGTGCATGAAGTTCTGCAGGTTCTCGCCGTGAATAGCATTGCAACGGCCAAGTACTTGTGTATCTTCGAGAGAACCGTAACATCATTCAGCCAGTTCCTAGAAAATGGCTCAGCCTACAGATACCTCGATGAAAGTTTTCCTCACCTTGAGACTGTGATCAAAAAAGCTGAAACGTCTTCGTGGTTTTCTCTATTCAGGCAGTCAAAGTTATCGGGTGTGTTTGATTTGGTTGCTGATTTCGGCTACATTTCCTTGAGTCTTGACAAACTGTTGTTAGCAAAGAAGTACTATCAATTGTCAATGACAGTCTCGTGTGGTAAGAACGGAATAATGGTAGCGAGAGCGAAAAGTTTGATTGCACATGTTAATGTCAAACTGGGGGAATTGAACGAGGCCAGGTCCTGTTATGAAAGTGCACTTGAAATTCTACTAGACGAGCTTGGGCCACATCATGCAGAAGTTGCCACCGCTTACAGCTGTTTGGGTTCTGTGTACCACAAGCTGTGTGATTTTGAGCCAGCAAGAGAGCATTATGTTAGGTCTTTAGACATTCTGTTGAAAGAGTTTGGTGCGAAGCATGTCGATGTTGTAAGAAGCTACAACAATTTGGGTGCTGTTTACTGTGACCTGAACGACTTGGAAAAGGCAAAGAATTGCCTTGATGAAGCCCTGGCCATTGGCATGGGAGAATTAGGACCTGAGCATGTTCACGTAGCAACTACTTACAATAATTTAGGTCTTGTAAATTGTGCAATGGGCGACTTTGAGAAGGCCAAAGAGTATCACAACCTTGCTCTGGATGTTCGTCTGAAGAAGCTGGGACCAGAACATATTGGTGTTGCCGGTTGTTACAATGACCTTGGAGTTGTATACTGCGCGCTAGGTGACGTACGACAAGGGCAAAAATACTTCGGTTGTGCTTTATCCATTTATCACAAAAAGCTTGGTCGGGAACATGTTCATATTGCAACGGTTTACAAAAACTTGGGCTCTATCTACAAGAGAATAGGTGACCTGCAGAAGGCGAAAACCCATTATGAATGTGCTCATGATTGCTTTTTGAAGTTGTGGGGACCAAACCATGCCAATGTTGCCATTTCTTGGAATGCCCTTGCAGGGGTCAGCTGTGAGATGGGGGACTTCCAGAAGGCGAAGTCTTTCTACGAACACTCACTAGCCATTCAAGAGGAGATCGATGTCGCAAAGGACACCAATGTGGTCAGGACATTCAACGGCTTGGGTTTCGTTCATAGTGAGTTGGGGGAGTTTCAGGAGGCGTTGAAGTACTATGAGCAATCTCTAGCTATTTCACTTGAATTGCTTGGAACTGGACATGCTGATGTAGCAACTATTCACAACAGCTTGGGTCTCATTCTTCAAAATTTAGGTGACCTTAAAAGAGCCAAAGAACATTTTGAGCGTGCTCTTGACATCAATCGTGAAACTCTTGACGAAGAGCATCCTAGTATGGCATCTTTGTATAATAATGTGGGAATTTTATGCCGCACTTCGCGTAAATTTGAGGAATCAAAAGAGTTTCACTATCGGGCTTTGGAAATCCGTTGTAAAGGACTGGGAGGTGACAGTGTTTACGTTGCGATGACCTATAATGACTTGGGCCTTACACTTTGTGAACTTGACGACCTAGAGAAAGCCAAAGAGTGTTTTGAAAAAGCGCTTTCAATTTTTAAAGAAAAGCTTGGACCAGACCATCTATATGCCGCACATGCTTGCCGTAACTTGGGATTTCTGCACAGTAAGAGGCGCGAATGGAACAAGGCAAACGAAAACTATGATCGTGCTGTAAGGTGCTATCGGAAAACATTGGGACCCGAGCATGATTCTGTTGCTAGTTGTTACATTGAACTTTCTCTAGTAAACCAGGCGTTGAAGCGTTTTACCCAAGCGAAGAAGTATTGTGAGCAGGCTTTAGCCATATGGCAAAAATAGCTGCTGTCGTCAAAAGGTGATGACTGGGGGAAGTACCTTCCCTTGTACAGGTCTTATTTTCGTTTCATTGGAATTTTGTGTTTGGTTTTGTGAAGAAAGTAGAAAACTTTTGTGCACGTGTAGTCCAAATTAGTGAGTACAAAACTTCCCAAACTCCAGATGTTGATTTCACACAGATATGCGCGACAACCTGGGCGTTGCACACGAGGATGCTTTCTCTTAGTGAACGGAAAAGGCTATCATATGCTTGGATTGGCCTTACCTGGAAGCTGTCTCGATAATCTGGTGTGAACAATAGAGGAACCCTCTTTACTTTGAGATGCAGATGAAAATTTGTCTCTAAACCTAAGCTTCGATCTGAGCATCTCATGTTGGCAAAACTATCTGATGGTCAGTCAAAGGTCTAGAAACTTGGGAGAAACGGTATATCTGTGACTGCAATTCCTGTTGTGGGTTGCAACTGCGGCGACGTCGGCAAAAAGCATGTCTCTGAGCTAAGACGTAGGCATGTTCCTTCTGTGGCGGTGCCGAAGGCAAGTTTCAGAAGCGGCGAAGAAGATATCAAAGACTGTGTAGGACTGGACGCTTTCTTCCTTGCATTAACTCGAATAGCGGCGTGACCAGACGCTTTTGCCATACGTTACATCACAGTTAAGTAACGTAGGTTTTCCTCTAAAGATAAAGTCTTTCTCTAAGTTCTTTCTCATACCGTGTAAATAAGCAAGAGGCCAGTTGCTTATCACAACTCAAGATAGTGCATTAATTCCTCCAGCAAGTTCCTTCCAAAAATACATTTCAATAAGCAAAGGAATGCATCTTGATGATGTCAGTTGTTTATTGGAAAAACTCTCAGGAATCTCGGACAAAGAGATGGAAATCAAAGTTGCCCAAGCGTTAGACTACCAGCCTCTTGCACTGGCAAGCGCCGCCGCTTATGTCAGAGAAGTTAGACAGACATCGACTCTTGGATGGAAAGAATACCTTGCAAGACTTGAAACAGGCCAAAGAAATGCCACGGAAACCTTTCTTGTTGAAGTCAACCCAAGCTGTGCAAAATCCATGATCAATGCAACAACACTGGCCGTAAAAACAGCTATGGCATTCAATGAAATTATACATCACGCCTTTAATTTCCTGTCTCTGTGCGCACCACAATCATTAAGTCTAAACATCATCGAAGACTTCATCACAAGTGTGGAAGAAGAAATTCAAGACAAAGAGATGATTCGATTAACGATTCAAAGGTGCTCACTCCTGATGTTGGAAAGAGAAGAAACTGGCGTTTACATTCGTGTACATCAGGTCGTACATAAATGCATTAAAACTGTGGCTGCAGATCATTCGGATGATAAGCACGACGAAGTCGTCAGTGGAGTGATTGGATCATTCAGTCGTTTTGTACAAAAATATCTACCAAGGCACCACAGGCAGTTATATTCTCTAATAAACAGCAGACATGTTGTTCCTCACTTAAAAAATTTAGCCACAGAACTTAAAAGATATTTTTCTGAGAGGGTCATGTCTCAAGTCCACCAAAGCGGCTTTTCAATCAAAGACCATGTCAAGGACCTCCGCGGAATGAGCAGGTTGTGCTACAAACATTCTGAATGCGAAACGTCGAGACATTATATCAATATGGCAGTGAATTTATCTGACGTAGACGAGCAAGACGCTGACTTGGAAGTTGCATCTATATATTTTAATCTGGGAAAAGTGCAGGATAAGCTAGGTGACCTGAGTCAGGCAAAAGATTATCATCATCGTGCACTGGCCATTCGTCTGAAAAAGCTTGGATCCGAGCATGTTGACGTCGCAGCTTCTTACGGTAGCCTGGGTTCTGTACATCAAAACCTGGGTGACCTGAGTCAGGCAAAAGATTATCATCATCGTGCACTGGCCATTCGTCTGAAAAAGCTGGGATCCGAGCATGTTGACTTTGCAGCTTCTTACGGTAGCCTGGGTTCTGTACACCAAAACCTGGGTGACCTGAGTCAGGCAAAAGATTATCATCATCGTGCACTGGCCATTCGTCTGAAAAAGCTGGGATCCGAGCATGTTGACTTTGCAGCTTCTTACGGTAGCCTGGGTTCTGTACACCAAAACCTGGGTGACCTGAGTCAGGCAAAAGATTATCATCATCGTGCACTGGCCATTCGTCTGAAAAAGCTGGGATCCGAGCATGTTGACTTTGCAGCTTCTTACGGTAGCCTGGGTTCTGTACACCAAAACCTGGGTGACCTGAGTCAGGCAAAAGATTATCATCATCGTGCACTGGCCATTCGTCTGAAAAAGCTGGGATCCGAGCATGTTGAC